GCTTTATGCTAAAGGAAGAGTCAGTCCGATTTACTATTTCTTTCCAATTCCTAATCGGTTTAACAGGATTCATTACATCACCAGGAGACACCAGGCCGCTGTCACCAGGAGTCAATACACTGCTGTCACCAGTGCCCACTATACCATCATCAACAGCAGCCACAACACCGCTGGTACCAAGAGCCACTACACCGCCATCTCCAGGAGTCAATACACTGCTGTCACCAGTGCCCACTATACCATCATCAACAGCAGCCACAACACCGCTGGTACCAAGAGCCACTACACCGCCATCACCAGGAGTCAATACACTGCTGTCACCAGGGCCCACTATACCATCATCAACAGCAGCCACAACACCGCTGGTACCAAGAGCCGCTACACCGCCATCACCAGGAGTTATTGCCAGTGCCGTCATGGCAGTGGTGGTGGTGGTGGTGTTGCTGGTCGCCTTCTTGGGGTGAGTGTTCCTGGCGACCTGGGGTGTTTTCTCTCTGCCGCCTACAGATTATTAGCAATCAGGTGACATGTTAATGACCTAACATTTCAGCAGTAGAAACTATAGTTCATGGTTGATAAATTTCTTACTTTATTTATATATATATATATATATATATAAACATGATATATATTCATCTTGTGGAATGTATATAGGAAGGTCTGAACCATCTTCAGCCTCTGCTCGAATAATAATCTTCAAATAATTTGTGCACGATTTATTGACCAAAGTAGCAAGAAACTATTCACTGAACCTCATTTAATGCGTACTTTTTACTTTGTGGTTGCTGTAGCGTACAATTTCTATCCATTTTTAGGGCGATAATTTCTTCTATTTCTGCTTGACTGATCGCTTCACTTGCAAATTGTGCAAGACCCTTACACCAGCTTCTTCTTTCTTGTCCTCCTCTCCCTCCACCTTCCACCATCTCAAATAATCGCTACAATTGCATTTCAAGCCAGCATAGATCAGCTTGATTCTCCACACGTTCTATTGGGTGGAGGTGTTGGGGTCATGTTTGCGGTGGAGGAAACTCTCGGCCATCTGTGGTCTCTCGTCAAGTCATGATGGTTAAATAATTCCTATAAATATTCTTGGCCTAAATAACAATTCCTGGCCTTGCAAGCGCATCGTTAATTAGTAAATGAATATAACATGAGTTTTTCTGAGTTTACGAAAGCAAGCTCATCACAGCATGTGAGTGAAAGGATTCCAAGCTAAGGAGTTGCGGTAAACCTCCTCGCCTTGCTGGTCTTTGGATGCTCCCTCCTTGCTTTTCTACCGAATAGTCATGAAATGTGTACTAATTTTTCAGGGATAAAAAGCAGACAATATTCGCACCAAATTGGATCATTTATCATAAAATTTGATAATTGAAGCCCTCGAAGCCTAATTTTTAAAATTGCCAAGGCAAATTTTTGCACATTACTTTTGATGCTATGTGTGACTTTTATATATTTCAATTGATATGAAATTGTGAAATTTATGCTCCACCGACCTTTTCACTTGCATTTATCAGTCTAAATAAGTTGATTGTAATAACTGTGCACGTATTGTGAACTGTGAGTTTACGAATTATAAACACGTATTGTGAATAAGAGTTCTCTGTAAGAAAACAACCAATTAGAATAGAAGTGTCGGCATTGGAGAAATAGGCCCATGGCCTGTTGCACATTCCTGAACTTATCGTGACTTGATTCACAAGGGATCCGGCCTTTGGAACCCGATCTTTCCATAACTGACGATTGATTGAGATAGCTGCTGGACTTATTGCCTGGTCCGAAATTTGCTAGGCATTCTAAGACTGAATATATGCTCCTGCATAGCTTCGTCTAGTCTGTTTTTCAAGGCGTTCATACTCGGATCGTCAACGATGCTATCAGGGAGGCGGTTCCACATGTCGGTGCTCGAAGCGAGAAGAAATTTTGTCGCATGGATGTGTTACAACGCAGTTTTTTTAGTTTATAGCCGTGGCCCCTGCTGTTGGTTCTTGTTTCAAATTCTAGTAATCCTTCTGAGACCTTGTATAAGCCATGAGTATGCTTGTATGCTTCAATGAGTTCCCCACGCAGACGTCGATAATTGAGGCTTGAAAGCTTCATAATCTTTAATCTTTCCTCATAGGACTTGCCTTTCAAGCCTGGAAATATCCTTGTTGCGCGTCTTTGAACACTCTCTATTAAATTTTTTTCCTTTTCAAATTTCGGTGACCACGCAACGTTTCCAAATTCTAAGTTCGGGCGTACGACAGCAACAAACAACTGCTTCATCGCTCTGCATCTAGGAACACGAAGAAGCGTCTGATCAGTCCCCCAGTCAATCAAGTCTTGATCGATCGACGGAGATTGATGTGGTTCGATCAAGAATATCGATACAGATTCCTGCTCGATCGGCGAAGGCAAAACCCAATTTGGAGTCGATAATTACAGGGGCAATGTCGCGGGGCGCAGCACCGATTAAAGAGGAGAATTCTATACCGATTCTGTGAAGATCTTCAAAGTTTCTGCACCCGATAATTTGTCTAGTCGAATAATCTGCATCGAACGATGTCGAATCTACAGTAGCTGAAGCCGAATCTGCATTAATCTATGTCGATTCATCATTGATCTACGTCGAATCTATATTAATCGTTGCCGAATCTCCATAAATCGATTGCTGAATATTAGCAGTTTTTACACTTTACTGTACGAATATAATAAATTTCCTATAACTGAACGAAAGTTGAATTAAAATCAGATCAATATAAAACAATTTATTTTTATAAAATTCACATTACATACGACGCAGAAATCAAATCCACGCGTGTGCAAGAAACATACTGTACACGCTGTCACGACTCCATAACTTATTAACCTGTATCAGTCTTCTGAATACAATTCAACAGGTTAATCATGGTTGTTACTCAAAGTAGTTGTTCGTTAAAAAAGTTGAAACATAGAAGCAAACTATGACATAAGATGAAGTAGACAAAAAATAGGAATAGTAGACAATAAGACAATAAGAATAGTAGACAATAATAGGTTTCATCGAAAAATAAGTTCGTGCAGTAGTAAAAATTCAACACTGATAATAACTCTTGACAGTAAAAACATGTGGCTCGTGTTTGTAATACACTTTGATTTGATTTAGGATTCAAAGTATGGCATGAAGGATCGAGTTTCAAACTTAATCACAATGAAATTGATAACAAACTTCATCAACAAACTATATGAACTCATCGAAAAACTTCATCAACACAAACTTCATTAACTCATCAGGGAGACGTGCAGCAAACTTGAAAAATGAAAATGTTACGTTTGCGTCATAAAATACCGATTATTAAAGAAATGCTTGTAAAATTGCAGATATATATAAGAAACTCAACCACTAAAAAATAGTGACAAGTGTCAAATTCTTTCTGATCAACTCATTTCCTTCAATTCAATATCAAATTTGTTCCTAAATAATCAATCACAGTTATTTGTAACATATGAAATTTATTTACACAGTAGGAGCGAGTAAGATGTATAACAAATTAAAATTAGGTTCTTATTAAACTAGGGCCGTATGGCTAAATTATATTTTAACCTCAATCATCATAATCTTGATATTGAATAACTTTCCAGGCATTGTCAATTAAACTAAATAGTGAGAAGAGTTTTCTAAATATTAACCAATATCATTTTTTTAGTATTTTCTAGTATTCACCGAAAGTTTTTGATGTTTATCAAGAATGAATTATTGTGTTGACAAGGTTCAATTTCGACGCACTGACCAGTACCACTTCATTACATAATTTTTTGATGCAGTGAGCTAAATGTCGGAACACAATTTCAAGATTGTAGGACGGAAGGACTGCGCGACACTTTGGTTGACCCAGCTGTAGCAAGTGCAGTGAGCTCACCGGTGGGCGGTAATCACACCCGCTGTACAGAAGACTGCAACGCGGTAGCAGTTATATAATTCACAGCTTCCACACCAAGGAAAGATGAACCAGTATAGGGAACAGATGCTGCAGGATACCACGCCCCACGGCCAGTGTAGCTGTCAGCTGACTTTCTTCAGAAGTGCAAAAGCTTTTGCCGGTGAAGGTCACAGAAGGTGTGTTTTACGATCGGTCCGTAAAAAAGCGTTGATCGGTTCAAAATGACAAAAGAACAGGTTCTTTTGAATAACCTATGGATTGCCACCATGTATACATTTGATCATTCACTCAATTATTTCTGTCATTTCAGTAATCAAACAATCATGTGCCTCAGTGATCAACAGAAAATTAGATTATATTAACCCATAATTTTCCTTGTAATGAAGAAAAAATGCATACAACAGTTATATTATCAAGTTTGGCACTATATCTACAAGACAGCAACTGAGTAGCAGATAAGAAATTTAGATTCATATCTCTGAAAATGATTCACAGCTCAAAAATTCTTCCTAGTGTCTTGAAGTGAAGTTATGATTATTTCAACATCAAACCTGCAATATTACTCAGTTTATAAAAAAATATCAGCGATTTTATGAAAAAAATTCAGTTTCAGTCAATAGTTTGCAATATGAAATTTGTCAGTGTTCAAATAGTAGTCCTCCAAATTCTAGACTGCGAGCAATAGCAATAAACACAAATCTTCAATACAGTTTTTGATAAGAATGCAAAAATTATCCATACCTGCACCCACGAGTGGCAGTATGACATGCACATTTATTTCATTTCGCTATAAAGTGGTGATATGTTGGCAGTTCAATAGAGTAAATGCATGCTGCATAATTTTTATGAAATGATTTACAAGTAACAATTACTTCAAATTTCTGCTTCTTATATCAACATGATAGGCTAATCCCTTTCCCAACACTTCAACTCTGTTGCATGCTAGCTTCCACAAAAAAATAATTAAAGTAAAAAATAAATTAAAAATTGAATGATCTTGAATTATGTTTATTGAGACAAAGATTTCACATCCATTTACCAATTGCAGAGCAAATATAGATTTTTAAGCTCAATGGTGATATAAAAACTAAAATTTCAAGTTAAAAAAGTCAGACAATCAAAATAGTAAGTTACCAGAAGTCCATTCCACATCACTAACCTGACATGAGTCCAGTAGGTTCAATTCAATTTTGAAAATAGCTGCTCAGAAATGAAAGTTTTTGATTCTCCTGTGAATAAGTTTCTAAAAATACAAGACTTGGTGACAGTCAAAACTTGGCCTATTCTTCAGCACTGACACTACTATGCTATACTAGTTTTAGCTGCTGAAGTGAACTGCAACGTTCAGATAAGAAAACAGATTGGTCGTCAACAACTGGAAAAGGTGTTCTTACACATCAGTACATAAATCAATTATTGAAATAATCATCAATTTATGTCATTAAACAATAAACATCATACAGTGTCAGTGATGCAGAAGTTGCCATCCTCCTAGCCTAGGTTCAATTTTATTCTTGAAAAGAGCTGGTCAAAAATGAAAGTTTTTAAATCTACTGTG